CTATATTGGGCCATTTGAGATACTAGAAAGGATTGGTCCTATGGCATATCGCCTTGCGCTTCCACCCGAACTGTCCAACGTCCACAACGTGTTTCACATTTCGATGCTTCGTCGATATCTTCGGGATCCAGAGCATGTTGTCGATTATAAGAATTTGGAGGTTCAAGAAGACCTCTCTTATGAATAACAACTAGTATAGATTCTCGATCATTGTGATCAAGTCCTTTGAAATAAGACTATACCTCTTGTAAAAGTCTTATGGAGAAACTATCGTATCGAAGAAGCAACGTGGAAAACTAAAAGTCAAATGCCAGCCAAATACCCACACCTCTTCGAAGACCAAGGTACGTCAAGTTTGGGAAAAAACTTCTTTTAAGGAGAGGAGAAATGCGACACCAAAATTTTTAAATTTAATGCCATGATTATATTAATTACTCATAGGATATATAAATATAATAATAATAATAAAAAATAATAATTAAAAATAAATAAAGAAATAAATACATATATAATTGAATACAATTGCTTAGTCTAATATTGGAAATCTTTGTTAAGGGATAAATTGTTGGACACCGCATTTTAAATATTCAATATTTTAGTAAGCAGTAAATGATGTTTTATAGTTTGGTAGTGAGAATTTTAGACGTGAACCTAACTTATAATCATACGTAATTTTAGGAATTATTATGGATTACCAAAGAAGATAATAACCCTTACAAAAAACCTAAGTGAGTCTTGGTAAAATATAAATCAGGGGCAAACCAAGAGGTAAATCAGGGGAAGGGGTGAGCAGCTGCCACATGGGTTCTGTGTATGATGTCCTTTACTTAGGCCTCACACAATGGGATGGGTATAAATAGTGAGGTGAAGTCGATTAAGAAAGCACCAAAACGAAGTAAAGGAGAAGGAGCATGGCAAGTAAGGTTCGGGAGCACAGTGATAATAAGAGTAATTTATATAGGTGAGTTAAATTGTACCTTGAGTTATCATAACATATTTTAAATATGTCTTGAGTTACTATAATATATTTTATGAATGTTTTTAGTTACCCCAATTTATTTTATATAACTTATGGTTTATGATTATGTTAATGTTTCACCTATGTAGATTATTTTTTAAACTCTATTTGCTTAAATTGAAACCCATGGATATGTTTGTTTAAATTTTAAAAAATATTTAACAATGATCTTGTAAACAATTATTGTCTATAAGTACCATCATGGAAGTCCCACGCCTTGGGGACTTAAATAACCATTGATCTCTGTTTGGCCACTCTGTGGCCCTCTGTTCGTTATAGATCCATTGACCCCGTTTTGATTGTCACTCCAGTGACCCCTGCTCTGTTCTGTTCTATACCGTAGTTATAATTATTTACGTAATTTATTTTAGTTTCTGCCACTTAATTAATTTGTTTATTCAACTTAAATTATGTTAATGGTTTAACCTAAATAACTATCCATGGTTATTTTTATACATCTACACTCACAGTATAATATTTCTCACTCTGCTATGTGCTTATAGCTGTTACCCCTTTCAGGTGACGGGATTTAACGAGATCAAGATGGGAGATAAATCACAGTGTTTTCTTTTCTTTTCTTTTTTTTGTTTTTCTTTCATACTATTTGTATTTTGATTGGACTCTTGTAATAAAATAAAAACCCAAATGACTTTTTTTTTTGTTTCTTTTAATTGACTTTTGGTACCGAATTATTTTATTTTAATTTAATTAATTTATCCGTTGTGCTACCACTACAGAAATTTTAGAATTATTTTAATTTACCTTGTTGTGACGTCGAACCTTTGGGTACATGGTTTGAGTCGTGACAACTTTAGTTCAAATATATATATATTTTTTACTAGTAACCTATAAGTAGAAATTGTGGTAAACATACTAATGTAAACTCCCAAAATAAAATGACATTTAACACTTTTACATTTTGTATTTGAAATTAATTTAATAAAATACAAACAAATTTCATTTTTCACCTAGTTAGCAATCATATTTGTATGTGCTTAACAAAAATTATAATGTTTTAAAGTTGCTTAAATGCACACATTAACAAATAAATAAAATGGGATAAATTTTATTTTATTTCTTTGTGATTTGATTTATGTGTAGATTATCCCCATTTTATTTGAAAATGATCACATAGCTTTCTTAAAGTTTATGCATTGCCGCGTTAAATCCGTTAATAAATTGATAAAAAAAATAAAATACCCCTATATATAATGTGAATAACTTAAGTGTGTGAATCACAGATATTTTTACCGTTTACTTGAGAGACATAATGCATTAACCTCATATGTTTTATTTACTCTATTGAAATTTAAAAATGAGTATATAATCCTCTTATGCTGGACGTGTGTTTCATATTTCAGTCTACAAATCACAAAATAATTAAGCTGTTATTTTCAAATAAGGATAGCATAATTTACATTTGGACAAAAACACAAGAGAATAAAGTAAAGTTTGTTCCAAAAAAAAAAAATTAAAAAATTAAATGGGGTTTGGTAATTACATTTTTGGTAAGTTCTATTTTTTAATATTTAAAAAAATCTGACGTATTTGATAATTGCTAAAAAAAAATTTACTTTTTTTAGGTAATTTTAAAGTTTCATTTTGAATTTTGTCCACATATTTAACTTTAAAAATAACAAAAATATGTGAAATTTGCTGAGTGGATCTTAACTTTTACCTTTTTTTTTAATTATTTTATTTTAATTTATTTTTAAGTAAAGTTAGGGATTATGAAAAAATATCATAAAATATTTCATGAAAATTTTTCATCTTTTAATTAGTATGTGAAATTTTATTATAGGGAAATTATTTAATAATCTCGAAACACCATGTGGCCATACTCTAAGGTAATCACCAATTTCTTAGCCCCATGTTGTTTTGTCATTCCCAACATAAAATTTTTATGAAATATTTTATGATTTTTCTTATTCACCTATTTCCATTCTATCTTAAATTTTTTTGAGTTAATTACCTAAAAGTCGTAGTTACAAATGTTATAGTAGCCCAGATTTTATTTAAGATTTTTTTGAATTAATAAGCCATATTTAGTAAAATTGAGAATTTTATCAATTTTTCTCAATTTTTAAAACTAATAACATTATCAATTTTTCATAACAATGTTCAAGATAATTATTTTACTAACTGATAAAAAAATAGAGTATGAGATTAAACGTTTTTTTCCTTCTACTTATTAGTTTGTTCAATATCCAATAAAATCGAGAATATTAATAGTTTTTTCTAGTTTTAAAATTGAGAATAATATTATTTATTTTATTTTATTTTTTATTTTTTAAAATTTTTCACATCAATGTTCTATCATCATGATCTTTTATAGACACAAATTTTCAGTTTTGCACAAAAAAATAATTCAATTTTTTTTCACTCATAATTTTCTTTTTATTGCCCATAATTTTTTTTTTTATTTAGTTTTTTCAATTTGAAAGTTGATGCTTTAAAGTTTTGAAAATTAAAATAAATGCCAAATTATCACATTCTTTAATAAATAATCATTATTTGAAGGGCAATTCTGACTATTAAAAATTTATGAAACTTGAAGGTCCAAAAAATTTTAATTAGGACTTAATGGAATATAAATTCATAAATTAAGACATGTGTATAAATATCCCTTTTTTTTTTTTTAATATATAGCACAACTATAAAGGTAAAATCAAATTTTCACAAATTTACTAATAAATGACTTTACATATATATATATATATATATATTGGACTCGTTTGGGAAGTTAGCAACTCCAACCACACTCTCTACTTTTTACTAACTAAAGTACGAAAAAAGTACTTTCTATTTTACCTAATTATTTTAGCTATTGTATTATCCAAACATAATCTTTATTTTAACTAATCATTCAAACTAACTTAATTAATTTTTAAAACAAAAAATACTAATTGCTGATATTTTACTAATATAAGTTTGCAATAATAATAAATTTGCCCACACAAATATACAAAACTTGTAGAATGAGGAGAAAAAAATACAAAATAAGTTATTTCGTAATTCATTAAACAGAATTGAAAGAACATATAAAATTGCTACATACATATATACATATATAAAATATATAAAATCCCAAATCCAAGACATAAATATATAAAAATTCAAGATATTTACATACATATTTGTTTGGAAAGCCTTTGGAACTTTTCAATTGTGCTACCAAAAAAGTAAGATGATAAAATAGCTAGCCCATTGGAACTCAAAATTAGAGTTATATTGGCTAAAGAAAAATGTTTGAGGGCCACAAAAAGTGTGGCTCAAATGGCTCAAAACTGTCAAAATGACGTCGTTTTGGGCAAATAAAATGACAAAACGACGTCGTTTTGGCAGTTTTGAGCCATTTGAGCCACACTTTTTGTGGCCCTCTACCATTGCTCTTGGCTAAAATACCTAACAAGCTTTTTTTTAACTATCTCCTTGGAGATATTCTTAACTATTTTAGCAAACTATTTTAGTTTTTGGTTATTTTAGTAAGTTAAAATTTTTATATTTGAGAAAATAGTTAAATTTTTTATAATTAAATGTGATATTTATGAGAGAAAAAATAAAATAATTATAAATTTAATATGATATTTTATCTTATTAATTATTTTAACTTATTTTATCTTTTTTATAAATTAAAGTTTAATTTTAAAAAATTGCTTTATATTAATTCCAATGGGTAACATCAAAGTTTGGCTTCCTTTCCTAGAGTGTTTTCAAGAAAATTTTGAGCAATACTCCTAAAACAAGGCGAAGAGAAAAATGATTAATTCAAGTGAAATATGTCACATGAATTTAAAACCAAAATTGGCGGCATATAATACTTTAAAGGAAAGCTTCTTTTTTTTTCACCTGTTTATATCAGCAATCAAGGGGGTAGCATATACACTAGAACTAACTTATGTCTGCCATCTCAGCTCCAAATGTTGAGGACACTGAGTATTCAACAATTCATCTTCATCCCTACACACACCCACAAGAAAAGTAAATACACAATCATCCTTTGAAGCTATTGATTCTATATCTCAAGAGAGCTATACAGTAAGAACAATCAATTCTACTTCACTTTACCACGAATCTATAATGGCAAAACGCCATAAAAAAAAAATTGCAGTAGGCCATTTTTCCTGTAGTGTGTCTCTCCTAAAGGGCGTCTTGTTTTGTTTTGATGCAATCATTCTCAGAATCAGACAACCAGCATCTCTCCCACCTCTCTCCCTCTCTCTTAGCAATTCTGTGACTCTCTCACTCTATATTAAGAAACACAGTCACTGAAGCCTCTTCATACCCATCTTGCACTTTGTTTGGGGGAGGGAAGAGATGGAGAAGAAAATTTTGATGAAATTTCTTATGCTACTCTCAGCGGTTCTGGGTTTCTTCCACGTGTCCACGGCATCAATGGAGGAGAAGAACGATGTACAGAAACGAACATACATAGTACACATGGCAAAATCCCAAATGCCGGCGAGTTTCGCCGAACACACTCACTGGTATGACTCGTCTCTCAAATCAGTCTCCGACTCAGCCGAAATGCTCTACACATACAACACCGTGGTCCATGGATTTTCAACCAGATTGACTGTTGAAGAATCCCAATCACTCGAATCCCAACCCGGTATTCTCTCTGTGTTTCCCGAGACCAAGTACGACCTTCACACGACTAGAACTCCTCGGTTTCTGGGCCTCGACAAAACTCCAAATTTGTTTCCCGTGTCAGAGTCACTGACTGAAATTATTGTTGGAGTGTTAGACACTGGTGTTTGGCCGGAGATAAAGAGCTTCGACGATACTGGATTCGGTCCCGTTCCTAGTAAATGGAAAGGGACTTGCGAGTCCGGTACAAATTTCACTGCATCCAACTGTAATCGGAAGCTAATCGGCGCGAGGTTTTTCTCCAAAGGCTACGAAGCCGCGGTGGGTCCGATTGATATATCACATGAATCAAAATCGCCGAGGGACGACAATGGCCACGGGACCCACACCTCCAGCACAGCCGCTGGCTCCGTCGTCGTTGGCGCCAGCCTCTTCGGCTACGCTTCCGGCTCTGCTCGAGGAATGGCCTCGAGGGCGAGGCTGGCTATGTACAAAGTGTGCTGGAGCTTCGGATGCTTCGCTTCAGACATACTAGCCGCCATGGATAAAGCCGTCGAGGATAACGTCAACGTTCTCTCTTTGTCGCTCGGCGGCCAATTTAACGATTATTTCAGAGACGCCATCGCAATCGGAGCTTTCGCCGCCATGGAAAAGGGCATTCTGGTCTCTTGCTCAGCCGGTAACAGCGGGCCGACTCACTACAGTGTCGGAAACCTTGCTCCATGGATCACCACAGTCGGTGCCGGAACTTTGGACCGTGATTTTCCGGCGTACGTTAGCCTCGGCAATGGTTTGAATTACTCCGGCGTGTCGCTTTACAAGGGAGCTTCGTTGCCGAAAATGATGCTACCATTTGTTTACGCTGGTAATGCGAGTAATGATACGTTTGGGAATCTTTGTCTGACAGGTACTATGATTCCCGAGAAAATCAGTGGGAAAATTGTGTTGTGTGACCGTGGAGGAAATGCTAGGGTAGAGAAAGGGGCTGTGGTGAAAGCGGCTGGAGGGGCCGGCATGGTTTTGGCAAACATAGCTGCGCATGGCGAGGAGGTGTTGGCGGACGCCCATCTACTACCTGCTACAGCGGTCGGTCAGAAAGCTGGTGACAAAATAAAGAAATACTTGTTTTCAGATCCTAATCCGATGGCCACGATTCTTTTTGAGGGTACGAAGGTGGGGATTGAACCGTCCCCGGTGGTGGCAGCGTTCAGCTCTAGAGGACCGAATTCTCTCACACCGGAGATACTCAAGCCCGATCTAATCGCACCAGGTGTCAACATAATAGCGGGTTGGACCGGTTCACAGGGACCCACTGGATTACCCATTGACACGAGGCGCGTGGAGTTTAACATTATTTCTGGCACATCCATGTCTTGCCCGCACGTGAGTGGCCTTGCGGCGATGCTCATGGCGGCCAAACCTGAGTGGAGCATCGCTGCTATCCGCTCCGCTTTCATGACCACCGCCTACACCACATATAAAAACGGCCACTCAATCCTCGACGTTTCCACCGGAAAGCCATCTACTCCGTTTGATCACGGCGCTGGACACGTGGACCCTGTAGCGGCCCTTAATCCCGGACTCGTCTATGATTTGGACGTCAACGATTACTTGGGCTTCCTTTGCGCCTTAAATTACACCAAGCAGCAGATTAACATACTTGCCAGGAAGAATTTCACATGTGACCCAACAAACAAATACAGTCTAACTGATTTCAACTACCCTTCTTTCTCTGTACCTCTCCTAGGCACGCAAGTTGGCCGCCGCAGTGGCAGAACTATGGTGGTGAAGTATTCGAGAACGCTCACCAACGTTGGCTCACCGGCAACTTACAATGTGTCGGTTAGTTTAAAAAGCAAATCCGTTATGGTTTCGGTTGATCCAGTGTCGCTGAGTTTCTCCCAATTGAATGAGAAGAAAACTTATACGGTGACGTTTACAGCGGGTCCGAGGCCAACGAATACATTTAGCTCTGGACGAATCATCTGGTCCGACGGAGAGCATGTTGTTAAAAGTCCGATTGCGATTAGCTGGAAATAAGTGAACTGGAAATGGAAATAAAAAATTATAGCTTGCTTGGTTTTATTTTTCTAAAAATATTTTTCACAAAATTTTATTTATTTATTTTTCGTGTTTTTTTTATTATTTTTATTAAATTTTTAAAAATATTTTAAACAGTTTTTATTATTTTCAAACACACTTAACATATATATATTTAAAAAATATAATATTTGTAATTTTTTTTAAAAATTCACTAAATATCAAACATTTTGCTTGTTTTTGGTTTTCTAAAAAAACTTTTAAGAAAATTTTACTTTCTTATTTTATTTTTTTTACTGAATTTTTTTAATATTTTAAGTAATTTTTTTTTAATTTTTAGACACACCTAACATAAATACACATAAAAAATATAATTTTTATGAATGGCCTATCGGCTAGCCCCACAGCCTATCGGCCATGGCTTGTGCCTGCTGTTAGATATTGCTAATCTAAATGTTTCTACAACATAAAATATTTATGAGAAATTCTAAAATATATCACTATAGGGGGGTGGAGTTCACATTTTTCATGTTTTAATATTTGGTAATTTTTTAAAACTATTTCACAATTTTTTTAAGTGCATTTAAAAAATTTAAAAATTAGTTAAATATAAATATAAAATATAGAAAAAGATTTAAAAACTAGAGTAACTATGGTTTCAATTAATTTCTTTTGAATATGCAAAACATTTCACAAATTTGTTACAAAACTTTACCGATCGACTGATCGTTTGATCCCAAATCTTGTCAGTCAACTAGTCGACCACATAAGGTTTCATGATCACATAAGATTTTATGAGTAAATAAAACCACTCAATAAGACTTATTGGTAATTATTCGTAAAGTACGTACACTAGGTGAAATTTTATCTTGTAAGTATAAATAAATCAAAAAATGCTTACCCCAAACACAAAAAATAACTTGCATTATACACAAAAGAAAAACCTTATAAAAATGAGAATTTTGTTTATCTTGTAAGGGAAAATGTTAAAATCTTCTCCAAGGCTCCGTTTGAGTAGCAAGAAAATTTGGTAGAAAGTAAAAGTAAAAGAAAATGAAGTGAAAAAAAAGAAATAAAAAAGAAAACATACTTTCTTGTAAACATTTGATTAAGGTGAAAATTTTGTAAGAAAAAGACCGAAAAATTTAAAAGTTTGGTTATAGATAATTTACACATTTAATTTTTCTTGTGTTTTATTGTATTTTTTGTAAGAAATAAAAAATTAACTACAACATGAGTTATACAAGAAAATTAATATTTTTATATTTTCCACAACTTTCAAGCTAAACAAACTCATAAAAATTAATTTTTTTTTTTCTTTCTTTCTTTCACTTTTTATCTATTTCATCCTAAACAAACTAAACCTAAAAGAGGAAACATGGGAAACCAAGCCGACATATGTTTCTTCCTCAATGCAGTGTTTTTCACATGTCTCTGTGTCCAATGGATTTGCCCTTTTAAAATATTGGAAAGAAAAATTTATATTTTTAAAGGATGATTTTATGATGATTTTGTTTTATTTTATTTTTATTAAAAAATATGTATCATTAGAGTTCAGCAATTTTTTATTTTGAAATCAACAACATTCTCTATCTTTTTGGTTTCAATATTGAAAAATTATAAATTATTTTTGAAGTATCAATTATCTATATTCTTAAAATAATGCTATATGTACAAATTAAAATAGTAATTGGTATATTAATAGATAATGTAGCATAATTTTAGAAGTTTTAAGTATTTGTAATTTATATAATATGTAAGGTTAGTAATAATGACATAACACTAGTTGGTACACTAATGTGTACATTAATTGATACATGTAGCGCCACCGATATTCTTAACTAATTATAATTTATTTTGTGTTTTAATATTTTTTAATCACCCAATATAATACTTTACCTATTTATTTTCTTTATCAATCATAATATTATAAAATATTACGTATTTATATTTCAAATTAATTAGCTTCAACTTTTGATATTGCCACTCCAAAAATTATGAATTTTTTTAGCCAAAATAGTCACAAAAAAAAAGAAGTATTTTTAGTCTAATAAAACAAAACATTACATTTAACTCATAATCATTACATTTTTTTTTTCATAAAAAATCAAAAAAACTAAAAAATTCTTCCCAAATAAAATTTTTTAGTCCCAAACTAAAATAATTAAAAAATCAAAAAACCAATCTGCTTTCCATAAGTCATTACGACCTCTCACTTTTGTTTTGGTGTCTTGAATATGATTAGTTAGAGCCCATCAATAACAATCACAATCACAAACACAAATAGGGATACCTACGATCCCGCGGATAAATCTCACCACCATTTCTGCCTTACAGGTAAAATCTTTTAATTCCATTCTTGCCTTCGCAGGTACTTGTAGATATTTGATGTTTATGAATATTTGGTCACATTTTAAATAGTTAAAAAATTAAAAATAATTTAAATTCTTAATATACTAAATAATTTAAGAAAATTTATTCATAAATTTTATATGAAAAATATTGATCCATTTAGTTCTAAGAATTTTCTTACAGACCAATTAATCCTTTTTGTTTTGAAAAGTTATGTTTATTTAATTTAGTGTCATTTGACTTTCAGTGAATGTCTTTTTATAATTTTCTAATTCATTTTTGGGACAAGAATGGAAAGGTAAGGTGTGAAAGATTCTTTTTGAAAGAATTATTAGTTGAAGTGTTGATTGTCGAGCGTGAAAATCTACATTTCTATAATTTGATTTTATGGTGTTACATTGGAGTGTTACATTAGAGTGTTACGTTTGGAAAAAATATATTAGAGAGTTTTTGTATGTTACATTGATTAGAGTATTACGTTTGGAAAATATACACTAAGGAGTTTTTTTAGAGTGTTACGTTTAGAAAAAATACACTAAGGAGTTTTAGTGTATTACATTAATTGGAATGTTACGTTTGGGGAAAATATAGAATGTTACGTTATTACGTTTGAGAAAAACATGATGCAAGATAGAAATCGCAGTTGGATTCCGGTAGTGAGACAGTGGAGAGGCGGTGGCGCACAGAGTAAGGAAGCAAAACATGGTTTCTTTACCGTATTCGTGGATAACATCCCGTTAGTAAAGGACGCCAAAGCGTTTGGGATCGTGAAGGATGCTTTCATCCCTTTCAAAAGAAGGAAAGTGACAAACTCAAGATTTGGGTTTGTGCTATATGACTGTTGTATAGTAGCATTTGTTGCCATCCAAAAAGCGAATGGTCTTTTGGTGGATGATACGATGCTTGTGGTCAAAATGGCTACTTATGATAGAAATAGCAGAACTGAACAGAGCAAGAGAAAGCCTCTGGATACCAGAAGATTCTTGGATACAATCAATATTAGAGGCAAAGCTGCATGTGTGGGTCACAGATCTTTTACTGAAGTACTAAAAGGGGACACCCCTGTTGTGGATGGGAACTTAAGCATAATCATAAAAGTCAATGAAGAAGGCAATGGTTGGCTTTATGAAAGTGCAATAGTTAGATTCAATACATAATATCCCACTCACAACATTTTAAAAGCTCTGAAGGAGAAAGGGTTGGAGCAAATAGAAGTCAGGAAGGAGGGAGGTCGAGATATAATACTATCTTTTAAATCTACCAATGAGCTGCAGTCAAACATTGGTAAGATTAAAGAGTGGTTCAAGGATTGGAGCCAATTTATGATGGAATGGAAGACGAATCTTTATCTGCAACAAGAGCGGTGCATGTGGTTGAGGTGTTATGGTATATCCCTGCACCTCTGGAATAAGAATACACTTAATAACATTGGTAGTATATGGGGTACCATTCTCAGCCTTGATGGTGATATTTGTCATCCTAAATCTTTCTCCTACACTAGAATCAAAGTGGCTACTGCGTGTATGGAACTCATCAACAAAACCATAATTTTGGAGTGTAAGGGCAATTCTCATCCCATTCTTGTATGCGAAGATCATTTAGCTGATTCTGGTAGTTTGAAGCTCTCCGGAAGGAAAGACTTCAGCTTCATCGAAACCAACTACATTGAGGAGGGTAGAAACACTCCAGAGGTAGCTGTTAGGGAGAAAATTGATGGTGATGAGATGGTAGAAATGAGAGTTTTATTTGGTGTTGACCTGGCTTGCACAAACGAGGTTGAACAAAGGAAGGAGCCTATTGGCAGTTACATAGATGAGAAAGTAGGCACTGACGTTGAGGAGACACCATGTGAAGAAGGCTCCAGCAGGAAAAAGGGAGCATGCGTAGAGGGGACTTTGATGGAAGGGTCAGAGCAAAATTAAAAAAACAATGATAGCAAGCTAAGGTGTGTTTAGCAAGCTTTTTCACCTGGTGAATTTAGCGATGGATTTGGGCCTCGTATCAATTTGGAAGTCAATTTAGCCAATGAACCTATTGAAGGTCTTGGGCCTGGTATCAACTTGGAAGTTAACTTGGCTCATTCATCAAGTAAGTTCCTAGCTAGTGGCCTTTCTAATAGGCCCATTGAGTCTGGTAATATTAATCCTAGTAGCAATGGCATTTCGGCCCATTCGCAAGCAGCTGGGCCTTCAACCTAGTTAGGACCTAATGGGACAAGTTTCCTAAATTTCAATCATTCTACCCAAGTGAAGCCTCTTGTTCCTAATACAGAATCCCTGCAAACTGAGAAGAAAAAAGGGAAAAAGAAGACTCATATAGAGGGATTCACTAGCTTTGCTAGACTCCATGGTTTTAGAACTGCAGCAACTCACAAGCATTCCTCCAAGTCTGTCATTTACAAACCAGCAACATCTACTTTTGCTCAGTCTGATCTATTTGAAAGTGACTAATCTCTTAACAATTATCTCCTTGAAGAAGACAAAGCCAATATACACTTGGGGAAATCATTAGGTATCAACTACAATGGGGAAGAAGATGTTGTATTGAGCAAGATAATTGACCTAGAGCTCAAGGATAAAGACAGAATCATTAAAGAGGGGAAGGCTCAGTAATAAAATACTGCAGATGGGTGACTTGAGTTTATCTTTTTGTTTATCTATGAAGCTACTATCTTGGAACATTAAGGGTTTGGGTAAACCTGAGAA